GCTCTCTCTTTTTTTAAGTTGAGGAGAAGCAGTTGGGGGGGGGCGGAGGGAGAGTGGAAACCGGGGGGGGGTGGGTGGGTGTTGGAAGGGCTTGAACCACAAATCTGTTGTTTTTTTTGAAGTGCAATAACTTGGTGTGTTTTGGAAGATGGAAAGGGTGGCCCGTTCTCCGTCAGCCAAGCCCTCTTGAGCTGAGCATGGGGAGAGGGGGACGCCACCACTTCGGGGTGGGGTGGGGATGGACAAGCGAAGGGAGGTGGGCCTTCCAGAACAAAAATGCCAGGTGGAGGAACTCTTTTCGGTTTCTAGCCAACTACCTCGGTTTACAAAAAAAAAAAATTCAGGTGTAGGTCAGTCACGAAACAGTGCGGAGCCGAGCTGGGGTGGGGCGGCATGCGAGTGACTGTCTTGTTTTTAAAATTGCCTCTGGACTTCCAGCTGCTTTGATACTTCTGTGTCTCATCGTGTGTGTATCCTTGTGTATTTGTGGACCTTGAAGATACTACCCCTCTTCCTTCTCCTCCGCCTGGCCTCGCAGCTTGCCCGGGTCTCCTTCAGACTTTTCTCGCTGGCGAGGGAGGGAAGCCTCACCGGTTGATCCCCCTCCTCAAGCAAGTGATGCCCCGACGGTAGATGGCCAGGCAGAGGGGTGTGGAGGATGGCTGAGATTGGGCCAGTTGGGCTGAGCAGCCCCCTCGGCAAAACCAAACGGGGCAAAGATTTTGGTCCGGTCTCTTCTCTGTCCTCCTCTTTCATTTTTGGGTTTCCTTTTGTGCAGTTTTTTGTTTTACAGGATATCATACCTTCTCCCTCTCCTGTCCAGCTGCAGCGGGCTTGGAACCTGGGTCTGGTTCGGGGCTTCGTTTTTATTTGGTGTTGGCATTCTGCCCACTCCTTTGTTTGGGGGTGCCGCCTCCTCCTCCTCCTCCTGAAACTGGGGAAAATGTATTTTCTCAATTTGTTTTAATCCACTCTAGAGATGCATTTTCATAAATGCACTGTTGATTTTTAAAGCATGCTCTAATGAGGTGGAGCTGAGAAAAAAAAAAAGGCACTTCTTGCAACGCCCACTGGTTTGTGGCAAATATTCCTGTCGCTGGCTTGACCCTGCCCTCTGTTATCCTCCCTCTCCTCACCTTAATAAACTTTAGTTAAGCCTCCGGAGCAGTGCTTCTTCCTCTTTTCTACTTTATCTCCCCAGTCTGCATATATCACTCCAACTACCATGCCGAATCCCCCACCCGAGGCG